CATTTCTCTCTTCCTCTGTTGTGCTCTATGTGCCACTCCCCCTGCCACTCATCCTCCCCCTCCCTGTCACACTTCTCTCTCCCCCTCACGCTACCACCCCCAAGCATCCTCCTCCCCTTCCTCTATCATCTGTCCTTCTTCTGTTGCGTGTCCTTCCTCTCACCCTGTATGCCATTTCATGGTTGACTTTTGCAGCCTAGTTAGTGCTTTGTATGATTACTTGTTACATAGGGTGTGACTGCAAGGGAGGCAAGAGAAGGTTGGACAGTGGTGAAGAGAGACCCTCAGAGTTCATGAGGGGTTAAACAGGATAGATTTAGTAAAGGACTTTTACATTCCAAGCTGCACAGGGAGACTCAGGAACTGCACAGAGGGATCACTGATGGGAGGCTGCTGGACACACAAATCAGACTCACAGGTGGGACTGACTGTGTGTTAAGGGCCCCTTAAATCTACTAGAGCTATGTCCTCATCTTAGCTATGCTAACCTTGAGTAGCTACTGCCTGGGAAGCAACTAGGCATTGTTGACAAAACAGAATAGGCCTGCCTGGCCTTGATGGGAATTTGATCAGTGTGTAGTTTCACATGCTGGAGCTGCTACCATGTACTCTGCCAGTCACTGACTCTTCTGCAGGTGTTCTCACTACAGTGGGTTTCCAAAGGTTTGTGATCTCTTTTTTTTCTCAGCACATTTCTACCAAACTCATATTAATGAATTTGAAAAAAATTTCTAGCACTTATTCTCTGATAACTATTTTTTTTCCAGGCAGTTCTTCAATAATATATCCTACTGAATAATCACTTTGTGGATCTTTTTTACCCAATCTTCCATAATACAGTGGGTTTTTTTGTGTTTTATTTTTTTTTTCTTTTTTTTTTTTGTTACCATATTTTTTTCCTCTCTCTGTAGCTTCATTGTTATATTATTTAGGCTTGGAGATGTGCAGTGTACCTAAGGATTTTTACAACCTTCAAGACACTTTGCACAAATTCTTATGTCTTTCACTCAGTCTATTTTACACCCATTGTTTTTCACTCAGTTTTACAGAGTGGTCAAACTCCAGTTACTATAAAATGTATCCTAGCATAATAGATAGTACCATTCAGCATTAGCTATCATTTGTAGCCAGAGTTTTTGCTCAGGGTCTTAATCATCTGGGACATGACCCTTTGGATATATCTCAGGTGTTGAGAAAGTCATATGGAGAAATTAAGAGATACTTATTTATATGTTCAAATGTCAAAACTATGATGCAAAACTAGCGGTACAAAATTTCCGAAGTCTTCTGTTGAGTCATATCAATGAAAGCAATAGTTTTTCCTCTGAAACCAAACATATTCTCATATGGTAGTGTCCACCTGAACTGTTATTGCTGTATATTGCTGTATAGTAAGTATATTCACTAGTTGTGTTTTTAATTTGTAGTAGTCTTTGATTTGCTTTAATGTCTTGTTGGGATTCTATGCTATAAGTCAGCCAGGAATCTCTTATGTTTAATAAATTATGGGGGCTTATATCTTTTAATCTTTAGTTCATCATGTTCCATTAATCAGCCTATCATATATATTTAATGAAAAACATGTTCTTTCTTTCTGTAAACATGATATCTCCATGACATAACATGCAGGTGCAAAATGTAATTTGAAAAACAAAGAAACAAACAAAAAAAATCCCCAAAATAACAAAATAACAAAAAACAGCAACAAAGCATATGGGACTTTTTGTTTCCCAATTTTAGACTGAACTTTTTCAGATATACCGATATGGTTTTCTAGGAGACTATTTTTTGTCCCTGTGCTTAGTATAGGAGCAGCATTTTTATTTAGGATGGTTGCCGATCTCTTCATGTGCTTGTTCTGGCTGGCTGCAATACTGTGTTTTTTTGTTTTTTTTGTTTTTTTTTTCCTCTCATGTTACCTTTCTCTTCACTTATTTCTGATGTTTGAAACCATTTTGTTCATGAACCTTGTTTGCTAAATTTGTTGAGAAATGGAAAACATTTTTTCTGCCTCTTTCATAACTAGAACTCGTCTTTCTGGTAGTGTTCATGAATATTTCACTCCTGTAATAGTTTTGGGATTTTATGTACAACTCATATATAGCCAGTGTAGCCCTTGTACGAATGGCACTTCCAGAGAATTACTTGCTATGCATATCATATCACTTGTGTTCGACATTTTCACTTTTTCTTCCAGTTTCTTCAATGCTTAATGCAGAACAAATCTTGTCTTGGGAATTTGTTCTCCCCTTATATATATATTTTTTATGACTTGGAATGTATTTGAAACCAAATGCACTCCTGTTCATTACTGCTGTTCTTTCACATCCTTTAGGGGAAGCATATTATGGAAAAGCACTTAGCCCTATAAATATGTGCTGCTCTTGATATTGCCATGTCCATTTCTTGTGGTAAACCAACCTTGACTTGGTTACTAGTTCAATGGAGCTCATTCCTGCGTGGAGGCAAGTTTCATATAAGGAAAATGGGTGTGTAGGGTGTGTGTGTGGTTTTTTGTGTGTGGGGGGGGGGGGGGGGGGGGTTGTTTGTTCTTTTAGGAGATTAGTTAACATTTTATAGTCTTCTTCTGGTTTCTTTAGTAATGATTCTGGATGTGTTGCATGGAAAACAGAGGATTTCACCCTTGTTATGCTCCCAAAGAAATTTTGAAATGCTCTAGTCAAGTAGCTTGGTTTTCATCCAAGATTGTGTTTTCCCCTTATACCATGCAATAGGGGCATGCTAAGAGACTGATTTCTGTTCTCTGGCATCAGTCACTTTACAAGTATCTGCAATTATCAGAAAGCCGAACTTTGGTCCTAAGTAAGTGGCTGTACCCGCAGACTCCAAACTATTTCAACAGGGAGATGCACATAGTTGTTTTCTTTGGGATCAACCTAATGCTGAAGGAATCCATAGGAATTTTATTGCTGATTTTAGTAGGAAAACGATGGGGGCCCCATTTTGTTGCTTTTGTGAGCTGATGACCTGTATTTCACTCATCCGGGTGAACATGCCTACAAATGTTCCTCCTGCACATTTTCCACCATGACAATTAACCAGCTGAAAGAGCATTCCTTGAAAGTGCATGGGAAAGCACTGACACTACCAAGACCCCGCATTGTCAACCTCTCAACCTCACTTGCCCACCACACCTCCAAGAACTGTGCTCTTGCTAAAGAGGTAGAGGACTCTAATGGTAAGAGGTACCTCAGAGCAAGAATTTAACTGTCTAACATGCTACTTAATGTTTTTATTAA